AAAAATATTATCAGAGAACTGTTACTTTTCTCACATGTTTGCTTTAGTCAAGGAGAAGAGAGACTCAGTGGGAAATGTACATACTGCTCTTTTTATACACAACTTTTTAATGTGAAACTTTACCTTCTCCTAATATGGATCTCCAAGAAATGGGGGTTACATATGCATTCCTCTACCAGGTTACACATCTTCAAATTTCTTTTTATACTTAAAAGGTCTTTTGGCTAGTTTGGGGTAGATGTTAGACAAATATTAAAAAAGCTGACACACAGAAGCAATTGCAGTGAAGTGAGCTCCTCTCCAGTCTGCTTCCCTGAGTACCTTGTAAATAAGCAGTGTGACACTGCTCACTGTAAATTAAATCATATTGAGTTTTTTTATGGCAGGCAATTTAGTATACTCTTCACACTAAGATTTTTAAGAATTTCTTAATAAGAAAGGACTAATTGGTACTTACGAATTCATTTTTAGCTCTAGAGAATAGAAAAAAATTTGAAAATCAACAGCTTGTCTCCACCTTAACCCTTTACTGGGTACCCCTTCGTTGTTTCACACAGTCTGAGCCGAAAAATAGATCTTTCAAAAGTTTCATGGGCCCTTGCCATATGTGATCCCTGGCATTTTTCTCATGTCAGTTCCAAATTCCAGTCACAACAGAAACATACAATAATTGAATTGATTGGTTGTCAGCTTTAAAAAGGTGACTGCATCACTGTTTATCACTGTATTTTTATCACATTGGCCAGTATCATGAAGGCTTCTGTGTAGGGAAGTTACTTGATCCTACAGGAACTGCTCCAAGGTTGGTTGGTTTTTTTTCACCAGCTAATAATCTTTAGCATTTCATCAGGTCACATTAAACTCAATGTACAAGCAGTTAAGAAAAGTACTGTATCTGGCACTGTTTAATGTCACTGACATGAAATGTGAGCAGCTGTGCCAGCATTCCTGAACTCAGAAAGTACTTTACCTTTCCTCTTTCTTTTGGAAATTAAATACATTTTAATATGTTTGGGGGAAATAAATACATTTTAGTACAGTGCTATAATGTTAGAAAGGTCAAAGGATTAACTGTGCCTTGTCATCTAGATAGTAAAAGAAATCAAGGTCATTTTAACCACAGAGATGCCTAGCTGCCTTTTATCTCCAGGATTACCAGGGCTGAGGATTTACAGTGCTCTGTGAGTGGCAGAGCTATATGGCAATTCAATAAAAATGCTCTCCTCAGTTTTTGAGTACACATATACACTCCCTGGAAGAACTATTTCTGACTGCAATTTTAGCCTCAACACATTACTGTCACTAGACATGTTTGGGACAAGCTTTAATCTCTGAAGAAGCAAGACCGAAACTCTAATTAATATCATCAGGCATCAATATATTTCAATGAACTTAAAAAAAAAGGATTTTCATATTTTGTATACAAGCCAAGGATAAGGATATTTTCCCTTTCTCTGCTTTGTTTTTTTTTAAATATTTTTTAATATATTAAAAGATATACAAATTTAAAAATAACATTTTTATTTTATATACCTGAGAAGAAAAAGAGCATTTCCCTTCATTGCACTAAAGTGATTCTCTTTAACAGACTATTCTTCATATCAATATGGCTTCACTGGCCTTTGCACATTAGGTGGATCACTGCTGAGCCTGGTGAGCTTCTGATAGTTAGCAGATTGTTCCTCCTGGCCACTAATCAAAAAAGACCTACTTTTGCATGTCTGTTCCATGCCATCCATTGCAGACAAGCATGGGAGGACTTCCCAAGTGCATGGGAAGGTTCTGGGGAAGAGTTACCAGGAACAAAATCCATGCAGGAGCAAGAAAAATCCATTACTTTCTGTTTGACTGTTATTTGATTGTACTTTTCTGTTGATGCATTAAAATATCCCTCAGTGAGATTCTCAGGCTATGCAAAATCCTCCCAACTCTGCCTGACCAGTTTTGCAGTTTTCTGGGTGATTTATACTTGGTCTAGAGCTTTACTAGCTTGCATGGAAAAGAAAGGAAGACAGTTATATGAGGAGGGCTGAGGAAACGCTTTTAATAGTGAAGATAATAGAACAATGGGATCCCCCAATACAAAGAACAAAGCCAAAGTGGCCATGAACCATGCCAAAATGGAAAGCTCCTTTTCTAATGATAGCTAAAGCTTTCTGACAAACATTGTATAAGTGGGTTCAGTTTGTAACTAGACAACAGACGTGTCCCGTATCACTCTTGGTTTTGGGGGCTTTTTCTTCATTTTTTTTTTTTTTTAATACAGTGATGTATAAATCAAGCCAATTAAAGCAAATACCATACACACTCTCACACCATGGCAGCACCAGAAGACTATTTTACAATTTAAGCAGAGAAAAACAAACATTCATTGCTAGAGGCAGCTGTGTATAGTCATCACGAACTACATTTCTTCCTTGAAAGTGGAGGGATCTCAGTTTATGAGTTCCAGAATCCCATGTGATGTCTGATTCCAAGTTTTGAGGTACAAGAGAAAACCATTTTGAAATTACAATATTGTCAAAAAGCAACTGAGCTCTATTCATGCAACTGACACTTATCCATGAAGATTCTTGGGAAGAGTGCAGCAAATTTATTTTTTAATTTTCTTCTGCATCTATTTGTTCATTTTTAAAGGAAGTATGCTTTAAAAAGCTTAAATATTATCATGTTAATTATTTAAATGTCTTCCAAATCATCCAAAACCAAAAGACTAAACCTTATGAAAGGGTAAAACTTCATGATCAGATGCTGGAAGCTAAAGGACTTTCTAGCTTCCACCTATTTAAAGGCTTCCATTTATTTCTGAAGAGTAAGCATCAGTCTGTGTGTGAGTGTTTGACTTAAACACTGAGAAATGGTATCTGGATTCCTCCTGTTGCAGTAACTGCTGGAGGTGAGACAAAATAATGCCTCTGATTATCCCTTTAGGCATTTGACTGTCAACACAGCAAACTGGAAAGGAGCAACACTAATGAAAAAAGAAAAAGAAAGGGAAATACTGTTTGCATGTGAACTCTGCACAAAATACTTTATGGAGTTTAAAGCCCAATATTCAGCTTATTTAAACCAGCATTACTATGTTAAAGTCACAGCAGCTCTGCCAATTTACTGTAGCTAAGGATGTGGTGATTAGCTATTTCCGTTGCTTGGAAAAGCACGGGGAAAAAACCCTGATTTTTTTTAGAAATCCTTTAACAAAACTGAGCAATATTTTATTATACCTTGTGTATGCGATTCTTAGAAATGTGGAAAAAAGAACCCTTTGGGAAGTAAACCCAGAAAATTTATTTCTGAATGTTATCTGACAGTATTTTGCATTAGTAAACAAGGCTTAGTTTAATATCAGATTATCCATTTTATATGAAGCAGAATTCAAATTTCTGCTTTTCTCATTAAAAAGGGGATGTTCCCCTTAGATTAAAAGGAAGGTGGACTATATCAAAACCCCTTCCAATTCAGTTTCAGTTCTTCCCCTATGGTGTCCCAATTCTCAATTCAGACTTACTTCTATATTTATTTTAGAAGTCACTCTTCCAGGATCTCATGATGTCTTTAGCACATGGATAGAGTATGGTGTTTGGTGCCAGGAATGCAGTGCAGAAAAAAAAAATTAGAAGAACACAAAAACCAGAGAAAACAAGCAAAAAAATGGACCAAAACACTCGGATTCAAAAATGAGCAACCACAGTGGGGTTCCACTGCAATTTGATTATGTAATAACCTCTTTTCTTCCCCCAGAAGGTAATTCAGAGTTGTGAAGTTCAAATGTAACACAGAGGATCTTGTTTGTTAGAGTGGAAACAAAGTGACAAGCCAGTTATAATGCCAGGCCTGTTTCTGATACTTTGAAAGAAACATGGACATTGTGTGTTGAGTGTTGATTTTACTTTTACTCAGTTCTAAGACTAGAAAGGCTTTGCCTCGCTCCCAGTGCAAGCACAACAAAGGTTAAACCCTTGCCATACACTGAGTTTACTTTAGCTGTAAATTATATACTGTCACAGGGGAGCCTGGGATGTCTCCTGTGAGTGAAGAACTGCCAGATGGGTTTATAGAGAATAAATGGCTCTCCTTTAATCTTTTCCTTACTATTTCTCACGGATCAAATTCCTCTACCTTCTTCCTCTACATGGTTCCTTACTCTCAAGAGTGATCCTATTGAAGAACATGGTATTATGAAGTTTGAGGAAGATCTGTCACCTCTCACCACATTTTAACAATGGGGGTTGACCCGAGTCAAAAGTATGGTGCAGATTTCAACCTGTGCTTTCTCCATAATGAAGGTGGTTTGGATGGTAACTAGAGTTAGACACAGGGATCAGTACCTAGCCACAGAACCAGACTGAGCCATCCGGCAATTTTTGGTATTTGACATTCAGCACGTGGTTTTCTGTGAACCAGTGTTTAATGAAGAGTACCCTGGGTCTTTCTGAATAAAATTACAGAAGACTATTCAGCCACAGTTTGTCTCTCAGCTGGTCTCAGAAAAGGTATTTTTGATAACTGAAGAACTGTGCCAATTTTGGCTTCTTTCTGCTAACATGTTGAGATTTGACATCATGACTATGCAATGTAATATAAAGACATATTAGTACTTTGGAATTCCAGGGAATAGAAATAAATTTTTCAATAGTTACTGTTGATCTAAAATAGAGATGAACAGAGCTTTCAGGATGGATAATTCTGTTCAAAATCAATCAGATCAACTACCAATTTGTAAATAAATTACTTTCTATTAAAATACAAAGCAGCTCTCTGTGAGTGGAGAGTCTAGTATACAGATTTTCAAGGTTCTGCTTCTTTTCACTAACATCATGCCTTTCTGGGGACAAATGTTTAGGCAATTACTGTAATTATGATAAGGATTCCATTTTCCATGTGAAGTAGAGAATGAGTAGTCACATAGGACTGCATAATTGCATTTAGTCCCAACCCCCCCAAGAAAATCTTTCACTCAGACAGAATGAGATTGTTTATTTGATACATCAGTGTTAAAATCATACAAACACACGTGGAAGAAAATTAGGAATTAAATTATGTCTTCTGTTTGAGTCCCATTAGGGAAACTGAAGGGAGCAAAGAGAGGACAAAGTAATGTGAGCTCAGTGTGAAGGAATGTAGCTAATGCTCCTTATCTGACCTCATGCTGAGCCACAACACCAGTTTGAAGCAGTTCTTCTATAGCGTCATCCTCATACCCCAGCATGCTCTTCAGTATCTCCACTGTGTGTTGTCCAACAAGTGGAGGTGGTTTTGGATGTGACACAGCAAATTCACTGTATCTGACACCTGGTCCTGAAAAAAAAACAAAACAAAACAAAAAACAAATAGAAGGGAAATTATTTTCCAGAATTACTATCCATATTTATATTGAATTGTCTATGTTAAAGTACCTCATTTTCATACCAGTTCTGTTTGCAGTCTTCATCATAGAAATGTTGTATTCTGAAATTACAGACTACAAAAAGATTCCAGTTTGCAATAATAGACCAATAAGCCAGTTTTAAATAGTTCACTCAAATGCAGAATTGCTGGATAGTCATCCAATGTTAACAAAGTCTTCCCCTTTGTCCCAGTGTATATCAGGGTGCTTTGAGTCACATTATGTCACTGGTCTTCCACTCTCTGGTACCTGAACAGCAATGCCCGGCCCACTCAGGATGTGATGCAGAAATCCCCACATTTCTACAGCACAAGCATAAGGACACAATGAATTGTCATGTTAACACATTTTCACTGATGTCAGAGCAGTGCATGGACAATGGGTAGCACCATCTCCAGTTGGCAGCAGCTCAGGTACCTCTGCAGTGTGATACATTGTCCTGCAGTGACACAGAACATGCATAGGTGTGGTATTTCCCAGCTTGGTTTACATTTTTTATCAAAAATACAAGTATCTGTAGCCATAGGAAAATCAGTAATAATTTATTTGCTCTGGCAGAAATAATTTCAAAAGTGAAAATTTGGAAGCTGACAATGATATGAAGACTTCTGTGTCTTCTATTTCAGGTAGTCAGATCTCATGTTTTAGTGATGCTCTGTAGTGAAGTGATTTCAGTGTAGCTCCTTGCAGAAAGCAGCTATTCCCTTACTGGAGAATGAGCCACAAATTTAAACTAGGCTCAGAAGTGAGGTACGCACTCAGTGCATGCATAGAAAGATTACCTGCCTCATGGAGAAACAGAGGACAGTAGTTTCCTTAACTACCAACTGAAAACTCTTCTTTAATACAAAACTGAAAAACCTTTGATGTTATTGGCAAAAGGATTCCTCTGTTAATAGTTGCTTTTATTACATCATTAAAATAATTTACAAAAAAGGTTATATATCATTATATCTTTACTGCAAAATGCAAAGAAATGCAAAGAACATTTCAAAAGCCAGAACAGCATTTGTTTTATTTCTGAAGAAACAGAATATTGACCAGCAAGGGAAGTGAAACACAGCATGAATTGGTAAATTAACTACATGTATTTACTACTCATTTGAGGAGAGATGCTGACAAAGGTCAGTCAAGATGCCAAAACACACCATTATCTTTTGCCAGTCTTCATGAACTGTAATCTAATATTTAATACAGTAAAGTATCCACCTCCAAGAAAGACAAAATAAGACAAATGGTGCCTAGAAAATTTATTTTTTTTTTCAAGCTGATTTGGTACATTTGTGACAAGTATGCTCTTGGAAGAAGTAATGGTTGGACTTGATAATCATAAAGGTCTTTTCCAACCCAGGTGATTCTAGGATTCTATGTATGGTTTCTGAGTTTAAAAAGGAAAGGCGTTAGAACTGGGGAATTGCAGACCAAATCATTCAACTTCAAGCTCCATTCAATACTGGAAAAAATAATCACCATGAAAATACTCAGCAGATGGGTAACAGCAAGCATGTACCTCTTAAGAACAAATAGTATACATGATCTCTTATCTTTCTACCAGGAAAAGGGCTGGAGGTGAGAGATACATGCCATCTAAATCAAGATATCAATAATCTAGATATATAAGTTTAATTCCTTAGACACTCTCTGGAGACACTGAGGGTGAAAGTACACAGTTACAGTGTCTTCTGAGACACTGGTAAATGAGTAAACCTGGCCAGATGAATTGTCATCACCTGTGTTTAAAGGAAAGGGTAGACAAGTGCCCTAGATGGGGAGCTTTACCACCCAGACATCAAGGCAGGTGAGATGACAGATCATGGTTTAACTCCAGCCAGCAGCCAAGCTCCACAAAGCCACTTGCTCACTCCCCCACCAGTGGGATCAGAGGAACAATCAGAACAGGTAAAGATAGAAAATTTACAGGTTGAGATAAAGACAGTTTAATAGGGCAAGTAAAAGCCTTGCACACACACAAAAGGAAATTCTCTACTTCCCATGGGCAGACAGGTATTCAGCCACCTCCAGGGGAGCAGGGCCATGTAACAGTGACTTGGGAAGACAAATGCCAATATTCCAAAAGTTCCTTTCCTTCATCCTTCTTTACCCCACTTTATATACTGAGCTTAAGGTCATACAATCTGGAATGTCCCTTTGGTCAGTTGCAGTCACCTGTCCTGGTCATGTCTCCTCCCAGTCACCCATGCACCCCCAGTCTTCTCAATGTGGAAATATGAGAAGCAGGAAAGGCTTTGTGAAAGCCTTTCCTCAACAATTTAAAAAAATCTCTATATTATCAACCCTGTGTCAGCACAAATCTGAAACAGAGTCCCATACCAGTGACTGTAAAGAAAATTGTCTCTACCCGAGACAAGACCAGCACACCCTTCAACCAGTACAATGCCAAATCAAGATTTGACTTTCAGAAAGAAAATTCTCTGCTATCTTCATAAACTGACTAAAGAAACAAGGTCAAGATAAACCCAAAGCCATGTGCAGTACTGAGAGGGAAATCATATTCAGAGAATTGCTTCTTGGGATCTTCTAAAACAGAACATTTTAAGTGAGCTCCAGAGGAATCTGTTCAGCATGAAGCACTTATCAGTTTATTTTTACCTGGATGGCTGATGGAACTCAGATCTTACCTGCTCAGCTTTCTGAAGACTTCAAAAGCTATAACTTCCTGTGAAGCACATTCACAATGACCTGGCTACACTGGAGAAATGGTCTGATAAAAGAGGGTGAAATTCAGTACTGTCAAGGGGAAGGAATTATGTTTCATTACATAAATACAGGGCAGGGGACAAATAGGAAAGCAGGAATAGTTAGGGGTTATTCTAGATCACGAAGTAAAGATGAGTCAACAACATCATGCTGTTGCGAAAAAGGCAAGCATCATACAGGGGTGTACAAACAAGAGAGATGCCTGCAGGACACATGAAATAATCTTTTTGCTCTAGTTAGAGCTGGCAAGTCACAGCTGGAGCAGTGTCTGGTGTGGGGCCCCCACTGCACAGCCATCTGGAACACCTGAGAGCTTCCACAAGACAGCAACTGAAATTTTCACGGGAAACATGACAGACTGAACCAAGTGTGATCATGGACCTAAACAGAAAGGCTAGAGAAAAACAACTTCAAAACTGTTTTAAAAAAATGTAAAAGAACCTCACCACTACCACCAAAATAAATCCTAATCATCCCCCCAGAATCCATGCAAACTTCCTGGAAAGAGGAAAGAAATCCTTGTTCATGTCCATGATGAGAAATACTTGACTTAAATTGCAACAAAGGAAACTGTAGGAAAGAAAGAATAAACTTTTATAATGGTAGGGGTAGCAAAATGCTGAAACAAGCCATGGAAGGAGGCTGTGGAGTTTGTATCAGTCCAGTCTTTAGGAAGGAGATTTATTCTAGACTAGTTGATCCCACAGCTGATCGCTGGGGCTTCCTGATGGATGAGATCTCTCACAGACCCCTTCACCCACTAATACATGTCCCTTTCACCCACTATATTATGAAAGCTAAGAAACAGCTCACACTAGGGGTAAGTTTTCTATTAACTTGTTCCTCTGATTCTATTTACTTCAAACACACTGAGTTCAATTTTCCAACGAAATCTTCAGTGAGAAATTAGTACATTTTAAAGGGAAAGGTGATATCACTGAGAAATATTTATACTAATTCCCTTTCTTAGGAGTGAGTACGAGCCCTATGAGGGCAGAACTGGCACTAGTGCAAGCCACAGGAATGATGTCTGTGCCAACTGAAATGCTTGTGACGATAATTTCAAAGTAAAAATGCCCTTTAGAGATTTATTAGCCTAGAAATTCATCATAGCTACAAAGCTATTATGCAATTTCAATTAAAAAGAAAAGATACAAGGCAATTTTATTTCAGGTGTGTGTATCTGGAAACTCATTACACCAAGAAATCAGCAAGCCCTCAAAGGTTTAGTAGCTATAGACTTTTCATTTGCTTGTGCAAATTTTTGCTAACATAAAAATTGTGGATTTCAAAGCCTGGGAGTTTTTGCAGTGATATTGAAAGAAGCAGAATAAAATCTCTAAAGAGAGAAAACCAAAATTGACATTGTGTGCAACAGACAGAATGCTTCATGCTTCCCAAAGAAAATTAATCTCACAAACTAGAGCATGCTAGAAAATTGCACAGCAATTATAAAACCAGTGTCTTCCTTGAGCTTTTATTGTTTGATGCATAATTCATCACGCTACTTTTCACTTTGATAGAGTTATAAAGTTATCTACATTCATTCAAAGGAGCTACTTGCTAATGATCCATCATTAACGATTCTCTGTTCTTTCCTTGTGTAACTTCTACTTGGCTTCTGTGTCAATTAGGAGGGTGCAAAGCTTGCCAGTCAGGCTTCAGCAATCCCACGCTCCTACTGAACAACGCTCCAGGAAAGCAACCAGCAGAATGCTATGCAAATGCTAATTAAACACAACTGCCTTATGAGGAAACCATCCCTAGAGGCAGAGAGAGGTGAACTGCTTTAATTAAGGTCAAAAGCATTTGCATGTGGGTGAGTTACAGGAGCCTACAGCAGATGAAAACAGGCCTTTGCTGGGGTAGAAACAGGGTGATTGGTGAGAGTGTGTAAGGTGGTGGTCACCTGTGCCTCCTTGCTGTCAGCAGGACACTATACTCCATTCAAGCATGAAGTTAAGGGGGCATTTACTGTCACCTGGAAAAAGCAATGAAAGAACGAGTGGTAGCTGTAGTTCACCTTTGTCCTGTTAAATTAAAAGGAGTCTCTTTCTCTTTCTGCTATGATCACACTGCCAGTAAATCACATTTAAATTCTAAGCTAATATTTTATTATTATTATTATTATAATTATTTTGATTTTGACACATTGCTAAAATACATGCTGTGCATACCACATAACTTACAAGAA